CTCTCTCTCTCTCTCTCTCTCTCTCTCTCTCTCTCTCTCTCTCTCTCATCTCTCTCTCTTTCTCTCACCAACCCTTTACAGGCTCTATTCATTTGTATAAGACTGTAAAAGGGTCAGTCAGTCTTTTCTTTTTCTTTCTGCTATCAAGCCCACTATATGGGTTTTCAGATTGATTAACTGTAAAAGGCTCCTGCAGCTGCGTAGCTCTGTGTCATGTGTCAACACATTATTAGATGTACTCGTGGCATTGTACACCTTTCTTACATCAGCTGTGATCCAGTTTCTTCATAATTCATTTAGTAACATATGCTTGTATCATAAGCAAGGAGCATAAAATCACGCTGAGCCTCATTTATAAAGATTTATCTGGATTTTATTTCAAGATCATTTGAAAACTGTAAAAATTAATGTAATGTAATTAGAAAAAAAGTTATATTTGCTCTCAAGTTTAGTCTTGTACCAGTGGAGAAAATATAACTGGATGACCAGGGATGAGGCTGATCATTATGGGCAAAAATTAAGTCATAACTTTTTTTTTGCAGTTATGTTACAACAAAAAACACTAATACTTCACTTTTTTATAGTTTATCCCTCAAAGGACTTCTTTAGATTTCACTATTTGAGATATAATCATGATTTACTCATTCTATCAAACCTCTTACCATACTTTCAATACTTAAAGGAAATCAGCAAGCTGTCATTGTGAACATACTCATCTAAAATTCAGCAAAACAAGACCACACAAACCCCTGAAAAAACAGAATGTGAATCCAAACTGACTAGTTGCTTTTTATTTCAACTGCATGTTTTAAAGAATTTGTTAAAACTTGTAAACTTCGCCTTTCTTTGCCATCGTACAACAAGAACATGACCATGTCAATCTTAAAAGCTTAAATAAGGGAAACTTGACATTGTCTTAGATCTCGAGATCTCCTTTGATCTGAAAAATCTTCCTCAGTTCTATGATATATGATGGGGCAGCCTATAATCAGGGAAGGTTGTCATGACTCACTGAACCCCCTGGCCAGTGTGTGTCATCTGTGTCATTCTCAGCTCTGCTGGTTTTATCACTTTCCCATCACTCGCAATGCAACACTGACCCCAAACAGTTTAAAAACCATTAACACCGTGAACCCTGTGACCAAACCTCACCTGTCAGGCTGTTATACAATCCACAGCTGACCGGCAGGACTGAGTCACTACACTAGCAGACAGGACCAAAAGGTGGAAGATACAGAGTTACTTGCATCAAACCTGGACCTGATCTCAATATGGAGCCACCAGAGATCATCGTTCAGTTCATCTCAGTCTGACTGTCCCTCAGTATTTCTGCTTCAAATTTTGTTGTTCTATTTTATTATCTGGATTCCTTTAACTATCCAGTTTGTCGTCCATATTGCCATTTTCCTTTCTGCTCCCAATATAGTCTCCTTTTTCATATTTTAAGGTTTAAGCATGCTGTCCATTTTTTGTGGATCGTTTTTCTGTCTTTAATCTTTCAAATTTAGGAAGCAAAAAAAATAATCTTAAATCCTATCCTCCTGGAATTTCAAATTATCTGAATCATTCACACCACTAGGTGTGACTAACTGATATGTTAAGTCCTGTTAATGCTGCAAACAATACAAACAAAAACATGCAACAGATTAGAGAAAAGTTGCTGCCTGAAAACGGAGAGTTATGTTTAGATTTATTTTCATAATTTAATTGAACTTAAATGAAAATATTCATTCAACACTCTCTATGCATAATTTTGAGGCAAAGTAATGCTTTTAACTGTGGAATCTATAGATGTTCAGATTCTATGATGATTAAATGGAAAACAGAGAAAAATGAGCAAGCTGTTGAATTTTATTCCAACTTTATTTGTTTTTTGTCTAGTGTTTTGTGTGTTTACTTTAGCCCCAGACATTTGTCTGCCCAGGTCTTGCTGCATATTATTCTGAAGGTGGGATAATGTTTTTCTAACCTCAATATAAAATAGTTAAAAAGAGACTTTGTGAAAAAGGTGCAGACTTCATTTGTGTATGTCTTTGTGGTCCATATGAGTATTAGATTAAATTATTTTAGCATCACTGAAATAAAAGAATATCTGACTAAACCTTTGAGTCAAAATGTTATGTGTCACAACTGCATAAGGAATTTTCACACAAAAACAGAGTTTGAACATTTTGATATGAGCTTTAAATGAGTTATGACTTATTTATTAGTTATGTCATACTTTTTAGCACAATGCCATTACAACTATTTGTTGGAGAAAAGAACATGGATTCTGATTGCTCCAAGGAAATAATATATAAAAATGATATATACGTAATGTACAAAAAATATACAAAGAAACTATTTCCCTTTGTTGTCTGTTTTTTGTAATTAGCATGCATGCACATCTTGATGGAGCCTGAAAATGATTTCTTACATAAAAGATGGATGTGAACATTACCTCATGGCAGACACAACTTCGAATAAAAAAGAGATGGCATTTGAGCTAGATTTCACTTGGTTTCCTGCTTTATTCTGGATATCATCAGGGGGATAAGTACAAAGTGTATTTCAGGACAGTTGCCTCGATTAAAAAAGACAGTGCCAACTTTCAGGACTCCAAAGAAAAAAAAAACTACAGGTGAGACTTTTCTGAATGACATCAAGCCGTCTGTGCCATTTCAGTAAATGACTGTACCACCTCATACCAAGATTACAATATTACCATTCTTGACAGCATAAATAAGACCAGAGTCCCAGTACACTAATTATTGAGGGTTCTAAAGAAAAGAAATAGGTGTCCTTCCTCAGACCAACACTTTGAGATAAGTTTAACAACTGTGGTTAATGACAGGAACTGCAAAACCCACAAAAACAAAAATGCATGAAAAGTTTAGTAAAATATCAGGGCACGCACCCGCCATTGAAAACTTCCCTTTTCTAAGGGTAGCTTCATTAATAAATTAAGTCTCAGGAGTCTGAAGTTGAAAGATGTTTCCAGTCTGCAAACCAAGAAGAACAGAAGGGAATGGATTTTGGAGGTGGGGAAAGAAAAAAACATGATCTACCATCAAAAGGGCACGATTTAGGACCAGTAGTAAGGAAGGAGTTGAATAACAACATGGCTCTCATTTTCTTTCCGATCCACAAAGATACCCAAGAATATAATGAATCAATGCTCATAGAAAAAGGCTTCATGTCTTTGTTCTGAGTGTTGACAGGAGAATATGGTTTTGAACTATTGGGTGTCTTAAAATTCTATGTGCATTTTAGCCTATGGCTAGGTCCAGTTAAGAGTATAGTTTAACAAAGAGTTGATTTGTTTTTATCACTTTGTTCAGTCTTCTGCTATAAAATAATGTGTAATGGAAATTAACACCAAAACACCAAAACTTTAGATATTAATTTTGCCATTACTTTTTCTTTTCTGACTCTCCTCATCTCAGCGATCCAAAACAAATTCTTTATACCCTTTACTGATATATTTGATTGAATTTTCTCCCTGCAAAATTTGAATTTGAATGCATTTGACCAGGTTTTAAATGCAAACATCCCAGTGTCAATAACTTTCACTATAAAACTATATTCAGGTTTTATTTAATTGTTGCCTGATGACTCGTAAAGACATTAGAAGACAAAAAAAGAAAAGAAGTGAAATAACAATTTGCCACTCTTCACTGACTCTCACTTGTTCACGAACACATGGAGTGTGGTCAGTCCAGTTTATTGTGGGCATCTTGACCCACTGTTGCTATTTAAAATGTTCTACCAATGGCACTAAATTGTTCTAAAGGATCCCTGAAAATCTGAACAAAAGTATTTTGTTCTGCTGGGACTGGTTTGACACCATCTGCTGAACCATCAGGGAATGATATATACTCAAAAGGCAGAGGGCTGCATGAGACATGTGGACGTAAGCATCAAACACTGACATAGATAGAAATAGGCGCTGATACCTCCAGCCTATGCAGGAATTAATCATACCAAAAGTGTTGTCCTCTTTTTTCTGATGAAGAACTTCTCCTTCAAACAGCAGTGATTTCCAAGTCAGATCGGCTTTGATTCATCTCAAATGGCTCTTCAAATAAAGCATATGTAATTATGCTGATTGCTAGATGGCTCATGATGTACTGTACGCCAGAATGCCAGATGCACATCTGCACTCACAGCTGCTCTACACTCAACAACGCCATGCATTTGTGTTTAAGATAACAGGATAACAGCCATTATGTGATGTTTTTCAAGATAAGAAAAGGGGAAAAAACATGTAGCTCTCTGCTGATTTCCAAGAGCATGATTAAGTAGATTACATTTTTTTGCAAAAGTTGTATAAAAGGGTACCATGTTTCTTTCCAAACATAAACCAGTCTCTTGGCTATGTGCAATGATTAGAATTCATTATCGTGGAGCCTCAAAGTAAAATTTGGGAGATTACATGGGATGCCCAAATGATAGATTTTTATATTTATGCACACTTTGTTTGTTATATAAAGCTTTACAATCTCATATCAAACGATTCGGACAATGTAGAAAATCTAAAAAGAAAAAAAGTCACTCCTCAGAAATATGTTCTGATTTATGGGTCTTTCAAGTGCTATTTTCAAAGATTCCTTCTCAGATCACATTTTTACTGTCACTTTATTCAATCAAAATTCTCCTCACATTCTGTTTGTAAATGGGTTTGCTCAGTCCAGTGCCCTTACTTTTTTATTTGTGTGTGGAGAATATGGACTCACATGGTCACGTTTCAAATAGCATGTTTTCTTTGGAAAAGATGCATGAATGTTGCCTTCACTGTAGTGGAAATAGTAGTAATATTCAAGGTTGAATACAAAGTACAGTGATAATGCTGCCAAATGTTAAAATCCCATCCAATTTCCAGTCTATTTCTCTTATACTGATTCTCTTTGAATCAGCGCAAGAACATAGAAGTTAGGAAATCACAATCAAGAGGCTTAGTGGTTTCTGGACATTAAAGTGAAACTCTTTTCCTGATTTTCTCACATACACTTTATTAGCTAGCAGAATACATTACAGAACTATCCTCTAGGGTCTGTTGAGCAGTTCATCTCAGTCGATTGTATATAAATGCATTTATCTAAAAAGCTTTGGTAAGCATTTGTCAAATAAATTCAGCTACGACCAACACCTCTGCACATTAGGTGGCTACATCAAAATACCCTCCCTGACTGTTTTTTTTCTACGAAATGTATTTCCTGTTCCTTGCACTTCTGTGAATAGCATTGTATCTACCGAATGAGGAATTTGTTCCTATCTCAGCGTGTTACCTCAAGCAATTATCTGTTGCCGTGCATGCACAGTCACTGCAGCGCACGGTGACTGACATGATAAATGTGAGCTAATGAGGCTCCTGTCCCAGAAGAAAATTATACAAGTCAGTCAAAGAGGTCACTTTTTATGATTTTATTCAAGGCTTTTTTTCCTATTCAATATCTTAAAAGTAATAATATCTTATGTCTCTTAGGAGATCGCTTCATAAAGTACTTTACTATTTCAAATTTGTATTATTTGTAAAATTAGCATTTAAAACTTTGCTTGTAATTACCCTTGTAATGAACATTGAATAAACCTGCTTATATTGTGGCGGTCCTAAGTGTTGGACACTCACGTTTTGATGTCTGGTTCAGAGGTCTAACACATTTCAAGCAAATAGCAGCTGCGATTGCGAGAATACAAATACAGATAAATGAATAAATGTATCAGCCGAATGTTTCTCTCACGTGCACTTCTCCACAATTTGGGCCCAGATAGTTCATATCTTTCCATCTCACACTCCAACTTGTTTGACACTCCACTTTCTCTTTTTATTTAATTGCCCTGAAGACTTCAGAGCAACACAAAGTGAGTCAGACCTCAGCTCAGGCCTCCATTTCTGAGGTCAGAAAAAGCAAATTTGTCATTGTGGTTGTTTGTTTTTTTCTGAACTTCCTCTCTCCTACCAGCAGAATGACACTATTGGTGAAGTTGGATTCTCTTAGGGGCTATCTCTAATAACGCTTTTTAAGAATTTAACGTCATACATCACTGCCATTTTGCTTTGATCTGAAAGCCTGTTTTATTGTTTCTTGTATCGTGTTTTACCTCTGCTTATAACAATAAGATAATCATTTTTCATGTGATTAACTGTAGATTACTTGAATAAAATAGCATCACACTTCTAATAATCTTCAACTGAAAGAAGAGATTAACTTTTTGGGAAATACATTTTGAAATTTGGTAATATCTTTTGCCAGCAAGTAGTTTTGAAATCATTAAAGCAATCTTGTCATGATCATTCTTAGTTCAGAAAAATGTTGAGGCTGTAATTGATTCCTGTGATGAAAATAACTGTACATGTTTATGTATTCCAGATATTTACTGCACTGTTCTATTTCATGACAACAAACACAACATTACAACACCAGCATGTTCTTTTGTGTTTATTTATTCATGTTCAACATGGGAATTATCTATATTTTTAGCTATAGAAACTAGCTTAGTCGATAAATCCTTTTCAAATTGAGAGTATCAACTTCATGGACACCTTTTACAGTGCACACATGTTCTTAGAGTCAATAGAAGTCTTAATGTTAAACAGCGTTTTAGCCACAGTTTGATATAAATACATTTAAACTTGACTCTTGTTCAATGTTTTGCCTTTAGTGGTAGCTTTTGTGGAAAAACCTGACTCTTGTTTCTCATAAAGTAAGAAAATTCAGTTCTTTCTTCCATGTAGGTTCACCTTGGTCTCTGTGACTAAATGTCCTGTGGGCTGGTAGTTGCAAGGACAGTCTTGCAGTTTTCATGAGTGTGATTTTCTACTTAGAAATGCCCAAGGTTTTCTTTAAATATGAATCTGAGGCTAGAGAAATAAATGGCGTCAGGCACTCAAAGCTCCACATGTTTGGAAATCAGCTTAAATGAGCTTTGGAATACCCTTGTTAGAAAATGACAAAAATAAAGAGCACACTTACTTGAAGAATAATAAATACAAGACGTTATTCTTCCTTAAAGTATCGTCCATTTTCTTAATCTTATCAATTGTTAATTGGCTTGGGGGAAAGAAAACAGCATCTGGTCACAGCTTTAATGACATGGCTCATCAGCACATGGTCAAAATTTGATGGCTTCATTCCTTTTTTAGTAACATTTACAGCTATAAAGCACATGTTTTTTTTTTACTGTGTGACATTCTGTGTGACCTCAGACAGTTGTGCAATCTGTAGGTTAGTTTTGAGAAAAAATGACAGACAGGACTGGAGGGTGGAATCCAGTGGCAATGATTTGACAACTGTGTTATTTATTTTTTCTCATGTAGCAAAAAGTAAATTACACGGTTTTGTAAAAAGAAACAAAGTATCCAAACATGTCAAGCAGGGGAGATGGAAAAATAGAAACTTTCCTTGATTTTCCATGAACATGAGGAGAGATGGCAAAAGGCAGAGAATATTAATGCTGCTCCAGGCAACCTGAAGAGAATGCTAATCTGGCTGACCATCCGACAGGTTGGAGGAGGTCTGGCAAAACTAAATTACATTTCTTTCAACGAATCTTGAATGTTCTTGAATGTTTCCATAGGAAAAAAATACTTGTGTGTATTCGTGTAGAAATGACAATTGTCTCCAGATGCAGGCTGACCTGGAGGTAAGATGCAACACGTTACTAATATGTAAACAAATAAATCTAACCATGGAATGTCCAGGTTAATGATCTATTTCTTTTGAGATATTTTTTCTGTATACCAGCTTATCCATGATCTTGTGATGAAATATCAAAATGAGGTAAAAAACTCATTGAAATGGGCTGATTACCACACATATATCCATCTATTCATTTCCGTAACCGCTTATTCTCTCCCACACATATAGACTGAAGAAAAAAAAAATTTATTTGAACAAATGCTTTAATACAAAATGTTGGCTTTACTTGGTGTGCAAGCAGTGAATGTTTTTCATCCTCATCTCCAAATACAACAACTGCACCAAACACCCAGATGCATTGGCAACTCAAAACCTTTCAAATATTTTTCTGTACTTTACAAATCAATATCGTAGAAATATGTGTCCTTCCAAAAACTACAAGGACATTATCAAGGGTCAGGAAATGAGGTTTTTGCAATAAGTTTTCAGCCTGAGGTGCCTCTCAGTTTTTTTTGTCTTTTTACCTCTAATCTTCTGTTCATATTTTTTTTAAATCTTTGCTCCATCTGACTATCCCAAGTTGGATTTGCGTCATGATGTTTTGTTATAACAGTAAAATACCTTCCAACAAGTTTGTCTTTTTCAATCAATCCCCTTTGGTCAGAAACCCACACTTAATTTATTCTGTTTTTTTTCTGAGGCTAGGACTATTTACCAACAGTAAAGAACAACAAGTGCGTACATTGGTTCCCATTTCAATAAACCATCACCACCCATTCAGCTAAGAGTTAATTACTATACACAGAATCTCCCTTGATGGGTGATTAGCATTCAGAGCTTAATGTTGGTGTTGCCTTGGAGCAAACTGCGTGGGCTCCGGCATCTTAACCTTCCACCTTTACATCGATTCATCCACCAACAATGTGCTTTGCATAACGTCAGAGAATTGGACCCGGCAGCATTTCCACACACAGAGGTTAACAACCATGCTGTCAGTTATGTTCTCAGGGAAACCTCTCATGAGATGGATAACAGGAGGGTGGATTTGGCATAGGCCAAACAAGTTCCTGAGCTCCATTAGGCATATTGTGGTTCAGCCTTAATGAAATGTGTTAGGGTTTTATTCCAACATCTGTCTCAGTAGGGGAAAAAAAGTGTTTCCATGGTAATATTAACCAAGATGATGTTTACCACAAAGAGACGTAGATTATAAAACCTTTGCTGCCCTCTGGAGGAGTTATGGTAGAAGTACAAAAATGTTGACGACAAAAAAAGGGAATATATCATTAGGCCCTTTAAGTAAAATTGTGTTATACAATGAAACACTAATTGAGGTAATCTATAAAGCTTATAGTTGAAATCAGTCAAACCCTGATAAACATAATTGTTCAAAGGTATTAACCCACACCATATTTTTTCCCATTTTCATCAACATTATCAAACAGGTGTGTCGTTTTTTCGATGAGGATAGAAAAAAAAGGCAGTACAACATCCAAAGGAGATATTTTTGTCTACATAGAAATGTTCTTCAGAATTGTACAACCACTGTCTTGGAGCTAGATGTATTTGTATTTGTCTTTGCATATTGAATAAATCCTGCCTTTTAATGTCACAAGATGGGGCAATCAAGACATACCCACGATACTGCACTTTACTGGATATAGCTTATTGTTTTTGTCTAGACTTTGAAATGTAATATTGAAGAATTATATTTGAATTGTTGTATCCACTCATACATTCAACAAGAAGCCCGAGGAGAGGGAACCTTTTTCTCTCTCCTTGGGACAATAAAAACATTTGAATACTGGTTAGTACTGTGATCTGATATTAAACGTTTTCATTTGAAATACGTATTAATTGTTTATTATGAAATGTCACTTGTCTCCCAGTTCATGTGAAAAAAATAATAAAGACAGAAAAAGTATTTGCATTGGTCGTGACTAAATTATTGAATTTGATTGGTCCTCTTGTGTTCCACTACTAAACTAGTCCGACTGGAAACATGGCACTCTGTACACATGAACTGCTAGCTCATTGATAGCACAGCTTCACACGTTTGATGTTGCTTAAAGCCATTGGATTTCTTTTGTCTGTAGACATTGCAACCGGGAAGGAACATCGAATCATAGGCTCCTTCTCCTTTCCTCACAAGTTTCGCAGGTAAAATCTTCCCTGTGTTCTTGTACGACGTTGTAGCTAGCCTGCTAGTCTGCTGTCAGAAGCAAGACCGCCCGGCTCCGTTAGCACAAGTTGTTGCAGATAATAACTGCACCTCTAAGTTATTATCTAACTTCGAATCTGAGAAATCACTATTGACTCTATTTATCGTTGGTATACATGTGATTTGGTTTACGTAGTCTTTCCTAACTAGCGGTGTGAGCAGTTGACGCTCACATGTAGCAATGAGGCTGTTTCAGCAGGTGTTGCATATTGTTTTATTCCTCAACCACAATAAAGTGAAATCGTAATATTAATATTTACCCATAAAGTGTCATTTGTATGTTTAAAAAATACTTTTAACACTCCATGCTGTTTCAACGCTAACTTAACATCACATTCAGATGTTCTGCATATCATCAGACCTTAACTTAGTTTAAAATTTTAATTACCGTGTAATTACCATTACCCATAAATGAATGAAAAATAAAGAGTGGGATTGCACGACGAATCAGCCACACTACTACATTTAAAAACATTAATTTAGCCACGTTAGGCTGTGTATAAAAATGTATCACTTTTTCTGTGGTCCCTTTAGTTTTAGATGAATGTGGACACAAAAACAACAGAAGCAGAAAGGATTGATATTGATGGCTTTTCCTCCTGTCCACAGTCATGTCTTTCCATCAGGACCGCGGGGGTCCCAGGGGAGGAATGACCCCAGGCCAACATGGCTCACCTCAAAACTACAGACCCACTAACTTGAGGCCTCCTCCTCCTCCGCCTCCATGTCCTCCCTACCATTTTGATTCACAAACTCCTTCCAGCTCAGGTTACCATGGAAACTATCTGCCCCCTCACCCTGACTTCATGCAGTATCCTCCTCCACCACCTTCCCAGACCCCCAATTCTCTCAACCAGTGCCCGATACGCCCACCCTTCCCTAAACCTTCTGCCCGGCAAGGCTTTCCTGAACCACCGCCAAATTTTCCACCTCCACCTTTGCCCAGCTGTACAGCTGGTCCCACTCCAGGCGCCCAGGTGTCTGTTCAGAATTCCTACCACCCTTACATGATGCCACCTGTGCCTCCACCTCCAATACCACACCCTCCCATCCCTCCCCCTGTTGCCTCTCAGTCTATGGGCTACCATCCTCCATACTCCATGAACTACCCCCATCCACCCCACCCTCCTTTTCCTCCACCCACCTTTAACCCCAATTATACCCAGAATCCCAGCCCATTTCAGTCGGACCACAACATCAGGCATGGGGGGCCATACAAATTTCAGAAGCCCACGGACAACAGAAGGTCTCCAGAAAGAGGGTATCGCCATGACGACAATAGACAGAAGTGCTATGGCTATGGTAGCCATGCTGAAAGGTACAAGATTGAGTTTCCTGGAGAAAGGAAGGACCGCGGTAGGAGTCCAGAGAGGCGAGGCAGGCCGGAGGGAGGCCGGTACAGGTCAGAGTATGAAAGAGGACGAACACCCCCTAGACACAGGAGCAGGGATCGCAGCAGGTACTGAAAGAGCTCCGTGTCCCAGCTTTATTAGCTCTGCCATTATCAGACCTTTCCATCTTACTTCTTTTTGCATTTATTCACAGAGAGCGGTATCGTTACAGAGAGAGTCGGAGGTCCCAGTCACCCGACAGGCACAGGAAGAGGCCCCGAAGGTGCACAGACAGTTTTTTCTTTATGTCGCCCGGAGTCGTGGATCATTTTCATTCAGTCTGAGAAATGTCACATGCATCAAAATGTATAAATGGATATAAATCCAGTTAAAAAAGCTATAGAGAAATAGAGATTTTCAAAATTCCAGAGAAAAAAGGGCTGGAGGCAATGACCGGTCTGTAGATGAGTGAATACATTTGTGTCCCGCTAAAAATTGGAGAGCTACTTTTGCTGTGCTGTGATAATAAGTGACTTAATAAATGCTCAAAGTGAGTCACATACATGAATCGTGCTGCATGGATAAATAAAGAGCCTTTAAGAGATGCTACCCATCTGTTTGCTTTTTTGTTGGCATTAAAAGAAATGCAAGTACTTTTTTAAATGACCGGAGCTGACTCCTATGAAGAGTTTGTAATTCTGTGCTCTTGGTGTTTTTAAATTCTTGTTATTTGTAGCCGCTCGGCCAGCAGAGACAGGAAGCGTGGCCGCTGGGAGGAGGAGAAGGAAAGGAGGTTGGAGGGTTCGCAGGGCCTGAGCAGAGAGCGCAGCTACTCCTCTCTCAGGAGTCGAGACTCTGACGAGGCCTTCAGTGACCGCGAGAGGGAACGGGACAGAGACAGGGAGAAGGAGAAAGAGAAGGGTGATGATGAGAGAGAGGAGGAAGAGCTCCTGAAGCCTGCCTGGATTCGCTGCACTCATGCTGAAAACTACTACTCCAACGACCCCATGGACCAAGTGGTACTTTTGGCCCTTTTGTCTTAAATACAGTGTATGTAACATATTCAGTGACCTCATTTTTGCTTTACCAGCTCTGGAACCTTTCCTGGAAACTGACTTTTCCCTCTTTGTCTTCGGGCCTTACAGCTCAGCTGGTGCTCTCAGACATCTCGGTGTACTTTTTCGAAGTGCTTGCCTTTTTCTGCTCTAAAACTCTGACCTTTATCAATGGTTTATGAAATTCTGCTGCCAATACACACCTGCACACCTTCCATTTGAAATATTGTGGTGATAGACCATTGTTTCTGGGCATGTTCTGCAGGGACAGTAAGGGTTGTCATCCAGGTTTCGTTGATAAAGGGGCTTCCTAAAATAATACTTAAAGGATTATAATGACATATGCTCCTCCACATGCATCCAAAAGCAGATGTTTTTTCTGCTTGCATGTAATTAAGTTGAGTTATTTGTCAAAATCACATTTCAGGAGTTTGTCTGTGGCATCTGTAGTCACTCTTATTAACCTTATCTATAATCCTTGCCTGGGAGCTTGTGATTTTAAATTGGGGTGGCTTTGTCTCAGAGCATTTTACAGCCAGTTTAATTAGAAATAAGAAAACATGTCAATCAAATCACTTGTCTTTGTTTAGACATCTCTGTCTCTCACTTAGAAGTTGTTCTGTATTTGTGGTTTCAGGGAGACTCCACCGTGGTGGGCACCAGCAAACTGCGGAACTTGTACGACCGCTTTGAGGACGAGCTGGGAAAGAGGCAGGAGCGAGCCAAAGCTGCTCGCCCCAAATGGGAGCCACCCAAAACCAAACTGGACGAGGATCCAGGTGTGTAGTTTTGAGATTGATGGGTTATACATCCTATTCGGAATTATAATATTTAGCCTCCTCATTTTTGTCTCAAAGCAAAAATACAGAAGTTTGGTAAACTTAAACCTGAGCTTTTTACTGGTTCTGATGAACACCAGCTTTTGGGTTGAAAAATGTATAATTAGATTAACAATAACAACACATTTCCACTACAATAAAGGAAGAGAAAAAAGACACTGTTGTCAGAAAGAAACTTGACTAAAGATCCCCAAAGGCTTTCAGGGCACATGTTAGAAAAATATCTTCCTTTTTTCAGTCAAAATGTGGAAATTCCAATTACTGGAGACTTATGTGAGCCGTCAGGTTAATTTTTTTCATACTGTAACTATGTGCTTAAGGAACGGAACATGTCCTTTTTTGACTAAAAAAGCTGGTCTGTTGCATGTGACACTTTTTAGAAAGACTTTACACAGACTCTGTGTAAAGTGGGATGTTATTTGATCTGAGAGTGGTACCTGCAAACCTTTAGCCATGCGACTTCTGGAAGCACATGGGGTGTTTTTGGTGAAATACAACACCCAGAACACAACCCTGCACTTGTTGAATACTGTTGTGTGATTTGAATGAATCAAAGTATCTGCCCTCCCAGCGGTGCATTAGAGATTAACACTTTGTGACGTTACCTGCGGGGCCTTCAGCTTCACTGTCTGTTTCGACCCTGCAATTATATATACCTCACCTAGTGAGATCTCATTTGTTCAATACGTAGCGCTGGGCACTGATTTCACATTCGAGCACTCGAGTTAAAATGCTGATAAGAGTTGAAGACCGTGCTTAGCTAAGAGCCACAAACCGCTCATCTGAACAGTAATCATAATCCTCACTTTGGTGCGGGGCTTCTTTTTTTTATTTGTGGAGAGTAAGTGAATGAAAAGGGAAATAAGATTCAACGCTTGCAGCTGTGCTGTCTTCCTTTAAAACAAAACAAAAAAATCTTAGATGGGTTTAAGTCAGCAGTTGGCTGGAAAATTAGAAATGGTTATCAACAAAACTATCCAAACAATGAACCTACCAGAGACAGTAGTAGCTTATACCAAATTGTTTGTTTCCCTCCAAAAACAATGAATAAAATGCAAATTAAGTAACAAATTTAAAACTTTTTTGGTATCGTCAGCATAGTGTGGCTGATTGCTTCTCTCCACGGTACACAGTGCACACAGTTCTGAGTTATTTAGATACGAATTTCCAGGGTGGGAGGGGGGGAAGTTGAGATGCACTGCAACTTAACCTGTCAATGAGCTGTATGTCGCAGAAAGCCTGATGATTAAAGACCTTTTTGCACATTTATTTCAGACGACAGCAGCAGCGACTCAGAATGTGAGACAGACGGTGAGGGAAGCAGCTGCTCCAGCAGCTCTGACTCTGAAGTTTTTGATGTCATTGCTGAGATCAAGAGGAAGAAGGCTCATCCAGACCGGCTGCATGAGGAGCTCTGGTACAATGACCCTGGACAGGTTGGTCCGGCTTAACAATAGATTGTCGCGTTCTTTGCCTTTTAATGGTTCTGATGGAAGTATCAGAGCTTAAATGATAGATCCATTTATATCCATTTCTGAAGTACTGAGAAACATTTCTTTAAATTGTGGGTTATGGGGAAGCAAGCCATACTTACGCACCAATTTTCTTGTCTGAATGCTCTAAGTGCATCCCACATAAAGCCACATTCATTCTGGGAAGAAAAATCTTTACATTTTGCATATCTACCTTTCATAAACAAAAAAGCAGTCAGTACGGTTACATGATGCTGGAAAAGAAGCAAAAAATCTACCTGAGTTATAAAAGCACTCAAACGCCTGTTAATTTTGGTACTCCGTGAACCTAATATCCATATAGACCTCAAACGACGAGTTTCATTTTACGAAGAGTTTCTTAAGCTGTAACAGCACAGACACACAACTCTGGATGAAAAACTATAACGTTAAGGTTCCAGAGAGAAATAAAGGTCAGCAGCCAGGGTTTAGAGATGTAAAATGTTGCACAGCCCTTGTGTTATACATGGCAAGTGAAGCAGAGCTGTCTGATTTACGTATTTTCTTTCTGTCCAGATGAATGATGGTCCCCTGTGTAAGTGCAGTGCCAAGGCCAGACGTACTGGGATCCGCCACAGCATCTACCCAGGAGAGGAGGTGTGACACGCTGTGAATAAATCACCCTTTCATAACCTTGAGGCTGTGCCACATAGGGGCGAGGGCATGATTTTACCCACTCTAAACGAATGTATTCTCTCCTTTCCATTATATTGAAGGGCATTAAGGGAGATTGTGTCATCTTGAATTGACTTCGTGTCCCAGTGACGACTTGATTATTTTTTTTTATGACCAACTTTATGGCTGCACGTGGTTTTTGAACGGCATATGTTACCTGGTTGTGGTCCACAACACATTAAATCCCCAATAGAACGCTTTTATAGCCGGGGAGGATTAATAAAAGTCGTGAATTGCTCACTGAATCTCTAATGAGAAAGTTAACCCACAGGACGTGATTTTCACAGTGGTACATTTGCATCACAATCCAGACAAAAGCTGCCAAATGACTATTGTAGGACTTCTGCTCGGCATGCAAATTCTATTTTTAGGCCAATTCCCATCCTAAAAATGGATGTTAATTAGAAACATAAGCAAGTCCTGGCCCCCTGTTAAATGATTAGTTCACTAATTGCCTGAGTGACCTGAAAAATGTTGGTCAATTATTTGCTTTTATCGGCTTTTACTGCGCGTGAGCATCGCAATTATTCTCATTAAAGTGTGTCAATTATGGTTTTTACTCTCAAATTTTTGCACTTGTAAAAAATAAAAAACAGCTTACATGGCTGCAGTGATCTGAGGAGGACTAAACCGATGAGTGGTGGAATTTATTTATTTTCAGCCGGTTAAACAGTGCCGTCCATTGACCAACAACGCCGGGAAGGTGTTCCACTACAGGATCACTGTGTCTCCTCCCACCAACTTCCTGGTACAGCTTTGTTTTTCTCCTGAGAAATCGGTAAAACTTCTCTTTGGAATCACACTCTTATTTATTTAATTTCTGCTCTCCCCCCCCTTTAGACTGACAGGCCAACGGTGATCGAGTATGATGACCACGAGTACCTCTTCGAAGGCTTCTCTCTGTTCTCACACACTCCTCTCACCAACGTGAGTCCCGGCAGCTGCGCAGGCAGAAAACAAAATTTAACAAGATTTTAAAGTTTCTCTCAGATTAAATGCATTCGGTTTCCATATGCACAGTTAAACAGAACCATTTTACATTGTCAGAGTTGGGGCATTTCTCACCTCTTCAGGAAGACTGTTCCAGATTTTAGGACTATGAAACTGGCATGAAGCCTCTCCTTTTTTAGTTTTGACTCTGGGCACCACCAAGAGACCAGAACCTGAGGTTCTCAGAGTCCGAGCTGGTTTATAAGGCTCTAACATGTCAAAAATGTATTAAGACTTAAATGTCTGTCATGTGGCTCTTAGGCCATGCCGAGACTTATACACAGGCAGAGCTGTTTTAAAGTCTATTCTCTAAGAGACAGGAAGCCAGTACAAATACCTGAGCAAAGAGCTAGTAGCTGAAACCTTTCATATCTGGACATGGTCTGAAGTGACTTCTTATAACCTTTGAAGAAACTGGACAAGTGGAGGACAAAAGAAGAAGAAGTCTCAGACCGTGTCACCCTTCTGAAAGTTTTTCAGCCTCTTCTTTTCATTGGGCATAACTCAGTCTTGTCTTCCTGTTTGCCATTCCTTAAGAACGGCTTCTTGACAGCCAACCTTCCATGGAGAGCATTTCTGAAGAAGCTTGGGCCAACAGGAGATGGATCAGCTGAAGCTCCAATTGCCGTCCCTCTTTGGTCTTTGCTGTATTTTTTACTTCTTGCTTAAGGACATGACTTTCAAATCCTCTTCATCTGCTGCAGATAGTTTTCCCTATGAAAGTGGTTGGGCACAAGAATTGGTCTGAAAGTGGATGAAAGACATTCAAAGGAAAACATTGAAAGCCTGGAGAACTCTTGGTCAGTTTAAAAGACGGTAGTAAAGTGCAGTTGCTTGGAAGAAAATATGAAAAATAAGAACTGTAAAAAGAATTTGACTCTGTACTGTACATAGAGGAAAGAAATGGAGTCAAGATTGGGCAAACAGAATTTTTTTTTCCTAACTTGTTCTAGCGTGATGAAGTGGGGGAAAACATTCATTAGGAATCCTTTGATAGCTCTCATTCAGTTTCACCGGACACTAAGATTTTCCTTAGATTTGTAAGGTCCATTCATATTTAAGTGGCGGATGAAAGAACTGTTATCAATTTTCTCTCGTTGTGGAATGATGACGTTTATTTTTTCAGTTGGCTTGAGGGTCCGTTAGTGAATCAGATTCATAATCATTCTATTACCTCTCTTTACACATACAGACAGTCATCGGGGGCCTTCTTTCTCTGTCTTCTCCAGTAAATAACATTGTTTTTGTCAGGGTCTTGAGTAAAATGCCAGTCTCCTTTAGCTCCAATTTCTTAAAAAAATGGCTTCAAACTGGCATTTGGCCTTGAGTCGGCTTCTTTGTAGCCTGGACAAAGTGCTCTCCTCTCACTGAGCTGACCTTGTCACAGACTCCTCTCCCTCCCCTTTGAAGGCTCATCCATGGCGCTCAAACATTAGGGAGGTTCTGATTTAAAAAGGAACTCCTCTTTCTGTAGCAATTTAAGCTGTTTTAAGACTTTTATCCCAAGGTGGTGCTTTTTAAGGAGCAAGAAATTGAAAAAGGATCAGCAGGCTGTTTTTAGAAAATATACTTGCATGCGTCTGTGTGCGTAAACATGTGTGCTTTCCCCACATGTTTGAATAATCAAACTCTGGGTCAATATCGGTCTAGCTTGAAAAGATCCCTGAGGATTAGGCGTGATTTGAACTGGATAATTTAGGCAAACCTTGTTAAAAGCTGGGGTAAACGCCTCATGACAGTGTGGGGATTAGGGACCTTAGAGCATGGCGATATTAGCACCCCGCTAGTTAGCCGCTGGGATGGCCAAGCAGGAATGTGCCTCCCAGGTTAATCTCTTAAAACAGACCTGTGTGCTCTGGCAACAAAGACTGTGCAGCAAGGGAGATTAAGCACAGAAAAGAGGGCTTATCTATTTAACAAGATTTGAGTTACTTCATTTGTGAGTCAGGTGAAACCCTTTTATGTGTATGGAGGCCTTTGTTGGAGTGCGGGCCTGTTAAATACCCACTGGTTTTAAACATTTTCTCTAACAGTTTCCATGCACACACATGGCTGTGGGTTCAGTTCGCGCTAAAAATGAGTTTCACGGAAAAGCTGTAACCTCGGCCCATCACCATAGTAATGAGACGCTCTCTCATTTCTTCCCCTGGTCTTCTGCTCCTTTCATCATGGCAGATTCCATTGTGCCGTGTGATCCGCTTCAACATAGATTACACCATTCACTTCATAGAGGAGATGACACCGGAGGTCAGTAAAAAACCACTTTATCTCTTAGCTCTTTTTTTCCCCCCCTCCCCTTTCTCACCCCCTTTGTTTTTATCTCGAACGACGGAGTCTGAGCGCAGCTGAGCCGCATGTAACTCTCACTCCTCAGTTCTTCGTCGAGACAAGGTGCTAATCCTTTTAGAGGAGGGAATAGAGCTTGAACTCGACCCGCCGAAGTTGATTGTATCAATAAGATGGTTTATGTGATAAAGTTGTAAAGCTGCATTTACTTATCAGTTGTATCTAGATGAAGGGAGCTTGTGTGGCAGAGTGCCCGCGTGAACCCGCTCGTGCTGCCTGCCAACATGTCGCTGCTTTCTGTCCTGTGTCCAGAACTACTGCATCCGAGGGCTAGAGCTGTTCGCCGCCTACCTGTTCCAGGACATTCTTGAGCTGTATGACTGGAACCTGACGGGTAGGATCCTTCAATCATGGCTTGACTTTACAGACACGCTGCAAGTGTTTCCAGAGCTGTAACCGTTTCAAAGTTGGTTCAGTGCCTGTGAAGGCAGCGCCAATCCGTCATGAAGTCGGTTTTAGTTAAATGTGATGTATCTATGTAGCCTTTAAAAGCTGTTTTAAACTACTGGTGATGGTGAATTATTTTAATTAATGGCAATGCAAGCAGCATTTCTAAACCCTGTTTCAAACAGGATCTGTAAACACCATATGCGGTTGCTCTTTAGAGTATTTGTTAACATGGTTTAAACATGTAGTTTTGCAGCATTTACAAACCAGAAATGGTTTCAACATTTACTTTGATGATCTACTTTTCATTTATCTGTCTTTAACTGCTGTAACTCGATGCCACCCCAATGTTAAACTTGCGTACCTGCTCAGCTCTACTCTGCCTTTCCACTGACCCCGTTGACTATCACAGGAATAACAAAACTGCATCGTTCATCGTTGCTGGTTTTTAAGATAGATGGGGTTCTTTCGTAGGAATCACTTTTGCTACTCAATCAGCAGCCTGCAGTCTGTAGTCACCTTGACTGAACTTACTGAGAAGCCCAGCTGAGTAGGAGCTAAAGCCACGCAAAGGAAATGCTAAAAAAAGTCGAGTGGGTACAAGTGGAAAAGGTGGACAGAGGTCATAGGAATTTATCTGTTTGATCTTCCTAACCCTGTCCTGGAAAAAGTGTTTTTTTGCCCTGGACTGAGCTTTTTTTTTCTTCTTCTTTTTTTTGGAGCCTGGAACCGGTGCTGAAAAGAGCCGGTTCAGAGCCACCTGCTGAGTTTCATGTGGCTTGAGTTGTGGTAGATAAATGGCCAAATGCAGCCTGTGGTCAAAAGACTGCAGACTGTGGACTGCTGCTGTGTTCAGAGACTTGCACGGCATTGGGGCTGTTGTTTGTCGAGATATCCCACCTCTACATTTCCTCCGGAGTCATATTCAGGGAACCGCCTAGTCTCCAGTCTTTGACCTCTCAGTTTAAAACCCTTCAGTGAGGAAATGCTAAATGCTCTGTCTGATTTTCTCGCGTAGCATTGGATTTGAGTCAGTTTAGAATTAAACGTCTTGTGACACGTGTCATAATTCATGCACGGTCAGGTTTGTTAGTCAGACTTGCTTAACACTCTTTGATAACTGAAATGAAGGCGTTGAGGACTCGGCTAAATTACGTGCAGTGGTTTATTTTTTTGTGCATTTTTATGCTTTCTCAACAGGGGTTGGACTCGTACAACATTTGACTGCCTTGTTAGCTTTTCAAAGGTTAATCGTCTAGATCCCTGAGATTAGCTATGTTGCCACAGGCTTTGGGCACGTCTCACAGAGGTCCTGTGTTTGTTGTAAACCCCCATCTACCTTTGTAATCCCAAATTTTCCAAATGTCAGACGTGCAGTTCATCCTTGTGACCGGTTTTTCCTCCACCTACATGTTTTTCATGCACCTGTCTCACCTCTGACACGGCACTCACGAGTCGAACTTCAAGTGCTGTAGCACCCGGGGCACAGTGGCTCTGTCTGAGGGGCCAAATGTGTTGACACGCAGAGCATGAAACGTGCAAACTGCTGTGCACGATATCAGGCAGTTTTTGTAAAAGGCCCGATGTGATGTCGTGGTTGAATTTCGATGCATTGAGCAGCCCTGATTTTTCCATTTCTCTTGAATGTCTCATTCTTGGAGCTGAAACACAGAACTGGATGAAAGCACCTCTATAAACTGCTTTTGGCCACAGTTCCAGCAATGTGGACATCAAAAACACAACATTTCCAGAGGGAACTTCCTCCAGTGGTTCTAAAAGGCTGTTGAGGTCATAAAGTGCCTGTTTATTAATTATGAATGATTATTTTTAGAAAGTTATTTTCTGGCATCGTGTACATGACTTGAATTACCTAATTAGCGTGTCAAAATTAGGCCTTTCTTCATTAAAATACATGCTACACCGAGGGTTTGATTGGTGCTGTTTAAGCAAATGCTTTAACCATATTCTGTAGCCATAACAACTCATATTTAACCGATAAGTGCAAAGTGTATCAGGGCCTGATGGGGTTAGATGAAAATATAATGTGTCTGCATATTTACGCTGTCTGTGCAGGATAGTCTAAATGTTTTCAGCAAGGGCTGCCAGCCCCTCAGTGACAATATCTGATATTTCATGTTTTGTTTTTCTTTTATCTAAAGTTGTCCTGACCAAGGTGAAAAAGATGTATTCTCTTTTTCACAAATTTGAATGAGCACAAACCGCTGGGGAAGTAGCTCTTTCTTCCCTCTAAAATCTCATGAAAAGACTGAATGGAAATGGGAAATGTACGTACAGTGGAACTCTTTGTTCTTGCCTGAAAAGCGTTTAACATAACAGCATGCTCTCATCTGTTAGGTCCTGACTCCGACGGAGAAGCCACTGGATGTCAGCAGTTCCATTTCATGCCTCGTTTTGTCAGATTCTTACCTGGTAAGATGCTATTAAGCCACCCACAGCCTGTGCCCTGTCCCTTTTTGATGGTCCCTGTTCTCGTGTTTTCTCTAAGTACAAAAACAAATTAGCGGCTTTGGCCTCTTGGAGTCTTTTGTGGGTAAAATGGAAGGTTAGCTTCACTCCTCAGCTGATACGCATATGCATGATGTTCATCTTTGCTACACTTGATGGTGCTGCTGCACTGTGCTTTCTCAGGTTCCCTGTGGCTGCCATGTCACCTGCCTTGCTTCCATCAAAGACCAATTTCTCTCCCAGCTCTCCCAATTTAGGCAGCCACTCACACACACACACACACACACACACACGCTTCTCCGCCTCTTTTACAAAAGTGCAAAACCAGTCCCATCCAATGTTTCTGTTGTGATCAGTAAAGAGGGAACTCGTGGTTACACTGAGATCATGATGCTGTGTCTGAAAGCTACCTTTCTGAATGTATCCAGGACAGACACGGCGGCGTTTTTAAAGTCCTTCCAGCTGAACTCTTCTAAATGGGTGCCAATCAATTTAGCATTGAGTTTCTATTAAGCTGACACCGTGTGACCTGGCTGATTGCATGCTTGTGCTGGGCTGTAGTCATTTATGCTTCTGGAATACAGATGGGGATGTTTTTATAGGCGTGTCATTATGTTTTCTTCATATTTTGCATAGCACCTGAACCTTGCTATAGTACCTGTTCTCACTTGAGCATGTCCTGAACATTGTGATTGTGATGCATGGAGACATTTTCACAGTTTGGGTGTCCAGCATCTGCCGTGCCTTTTGCCCCAAGAATTTCAAATTTTGTGTTTTTGTCTGGATGGTCTTAGACGGTGGGAAGGAGGTGCTGTCGATGCATCAGGTGCTTCTCTACCTTCTGCGCAGCAGCACACCTCTGGTGCCCGAGGAGGAGATCGCAGACATGCTACAGTGGGAGCAACTGGAGTGGCAGAAGTATGCAGAGGAGTGCAAGGGCATGATCGTCACCAACCCGGGAATGGTAAAGATTCCTGATTCTCTCCGACGTTGCAAGCATGCTGTGTGTCCCTGAACCCTGCCACTGTGTGGGGGATGGGACCCCTGCTAGTTCACTCATTATCTCCCAAAGGCATTCGTTGTCACCAGCACTATTGGGCCCAAAAGCTTTCATGTTGTGATAAAGTTGGTTACCTTCCCTTCTGACTGGCATTTCAAAGGATGTAGTGTAATCGTGTCTTGGTAAAAGTGAAGATGTCGCTGGCTAAGAGGCTGCATATGAAGAGTGAATGTGATTGTGTAACCTCAGGCGTGGGTGAGTTATTGAGTCAACTCCGCTCACTGGCAGGGTGGAATTGTTGCTGTCGAGGTTTCCAGAGCAGATGTAGTAAAGCTTTCTTCCCTGCAATCTGGTTAAAGATTAGACTGCCATTCAGACAAAGTCTGTTGTATATGCAAACTTACATTCCCAGAAAAGGTGGAATATTTTCTGAAATATTTTCTTTATATAACTTTTTATCTTTCTTGAAGTATTTCACATACATTTTTACTTCTTGTTTTGGTAGACACTTTTATACAACCTATATAGATATATTAACAAATTTGAAAACAAAGGGGTTAAGCTTTTGGTTACGTGCACTGAAGGCACTGCAGCTATACTTTGAAAATCATTTTAAAGTAAAATTGAGAGTTAATAAAGTAAGAAGTCATATAAATGTTTTGCATTTGTTTTAATTCATAAAAGTGCAATAGATAGGAGAAAGCTTCAAAAATGACCAGTTCTTTTTCTTCATTACAACTTATTACGCATTATAAAAATAAAAAGACATAATATAAATACAAAATATTTACAGTTAAAATTTCCAAAATCTATAGATTGCTGAAATTTGAAGAATTTGATCCATTTAAAGAGGTTTGGGTGTCATGTCTGTACGCAGGTATCACTCCTTTCATTAGATAGTTGTGGTATGCTGGGGGCTACTTCAAAGTCTCATAATACTTTAAATGAAAGTCAATTATCAATCAGACATGGCACACTTAAGTGATTATTTCACACAGCGACATGAACTACACATGAGCTCTCAAATTTCATAAATCCCTAATTAGTTCCAGCGCATTAAAGCAAAGGTAAAGGAGTGGTGGGCCCCTCAATAGCCAAATCTATACCAATCAAACCTGATTATGTTGCTCTACAGGCAGAATCAAAGTTGCCTTATGACCCCTGGCTCTCATATAAAGGTTTGCATGCGGGCCACGGTGATAAACGCGGCTAATATCAAGGTGAGTCCGAGCCCGGAGCCATCTGCTGTGCATATCCGCCCGCCTCATGGCGCAGCCCCCTTTCAGTGATCTCACAAAGTGCCTGACAGGCTAACTGTGATATGGGAGCCAGCTGAGGACATGCTGCTTGTCAATCTCCTCGGATAAGTGTGTCAGAAGTTTCTTCTGCCTTGACATCCCTTTATCATTGTTAGGCCCATGCCACCAGTAGAATCTCGGCATCATCTCATTACATTCCTGTGACAGATGACCCTTGTGGCGCGGATTATTTATATCACATGCTGGTAGCAGGTGATTGAATGATGGCTGCCTTGTGGCTAAATATGTTTATAGTGTAACATCATCCCTCAATGTTCAGAGCCCCCCCTTTCTTTCTTTTTTGTCCCCAGAAGCCCAGCTCGGTGCGGATCGACCAACTGGACAGGGAGCAGTTCAACCCAGATGTCATCACCTTCCCCATCATCGTTCATTTCGGAATCCGGCCCGCTCAGCTCAGCTACGCCGGAGACCCTCAGTAAGATCACACACACACAAGCAAACACAGACGCGAAAAATATCAACCACCCGCACAGATTATTCCCTCATCGGCTGGGCGCCATCTCCCCGGTTCCCACAACTCCTTATTCGGCGCCGCTCTCCCGAGGCACTGCGACCGTGGAGCTGTTTGTGTTGACGTGGAGGAGGATGAGAGCGGCGTATGCCGAAGAGGAGAGGAGCTGCACGCATAGACGGATAAAGGAACAGGGGGATGAGAGAACGAGTGGCGTGACATTTTCACATGCGTCGTCACGGGTCCCAGGTTTCTGTCTGGTGAATAGTAATGCAACAAACGCGCAGCAGGGAATACTGTACTGTGCCTCTGCATAATTAACAGTGGCAGCGTATTAAAAACAGCCAGCCGCAGTCTCTGTGAACGATGCGACAACACCACAACAAGCACCGCTGAAAAGTCAGCACACAACTTGGTTTTCTGCTCTTTCTAAATACGCACCTGTGGATTCCGTTTTGAATCAACTGCCCGGCACACACACAAACAAACAGTGAGGACGAGGTGCAGGAGAGGATAGGAAGCGACGAGAATACAATCATTAGAAAGCCTGTTTAGTCAAAGCTAGTTGTTTCCTTCCTCCCTCTGACTAATGCCCCCCCCCTCCCCTGCTGCTACATTTTAGCCGTCTGTCCTCTGAGCTCTTTCATCCCTGTGCACCCTGCTGCCATGTCAAACTTCTCAAAGCGCCAGACAACGACAAATTTATGGACGAACTGGGACATCATTAGCTGATGCAGAAACGAGGAGTAGGAGACCAGTGGAAGGGATTTCCTGCCGCTGCTAATGATGCGTGTAGCGAGGGCAGGAGTCGGTGTTGATTGCGGTAGCAGCAATGCCGAAGAGGGGAAGCTCGGACGCAGTGGCATACATTAACTCAGGACACTGAAGAAGCTGTGTTGCTTTATCCGCCGCCCACTGCCCACCGGACACACTCCGCTTACGGCTGCCACTCGAGCTCCTCCAGCTCTATCCGAACCACTGATGCAAGAAAGAGGACGTGTCAGAGGTCAGGGGATGTGAAGGGGGGAGGACAGGACGGGATGATGGAAGTGGACACAAGTGACTGAAGAAAATAAATGAAACATGAGACAAACGTAATGAAATTTAAAGAGATAAGGAAAAATAACCAATGATAAAAATAGATGAGGTGAAAACGGAAGGAGACAAACTGTTGTTTCACTTAAACGTGTCAGTTTTACTTGTAAGTCCCATTTTAAAGCTAAAACAGCACAAACATGGCTTGTTTGGAGTTAATTCTGCCACATTCATGCCTCACTGACACCACTGTAACTTCTCCTCTCGCTCATGAGCCTCAACTGAAGGAAGCAGAGCAGCTAATCTGCATACTGAGCTCTGATTGGATATTTTTTGTGACACTGTCTGCTGGCATAGTGTTTCCATGTATCATTTTTCTTATCTGTACCCATGGCAGCTTATCACTAGAACATTTCTGCCCATTGTCCTCAATAATGGGATTTATTTGCATTCTTTTTATGTATTTATTCCGTTCAAAACACTACAGCGGAAAGCGAGTCTATACTTCTATTTGACGTGGAAAGGAAAATAATTGGCTGCTGTGATTTTCTTTTTCTCTCTCAGAAGGCAGTTACATAAAGTAAAACTTCTTGAATTGGAGTTTTGGTTGCATATTTTGTGCTGGAGTCTGCATTTGGGCATGGTATCGGATTTCCTGAAACACAAAAAAGACTAAAGTTCTAAACTTGAACAAATCACTGAGAATGATTTCTGCACAAGTGTTAATAACCTAGAGGCTCCTAATGGCTGGAGTTATGGTAGGAAAGCCTTTATGATTGATCATTGGTACAACTTTTTAAAATATATTTTTTGGTTTAGCATCACATCAGTCATCTTGCGTCCCCTGGGTTTTCCAACGTTTCTCTTTGCTTTAATATTGTTGTGTTCAGTTTTTGAATACTCTAGTTAAATGTTTGAGGCCATTGTATTGTTGGAGGGTCTGATACTGCCCAAGGCAAAGGCTTTCTCCAGTCCTCCTGATGTTTTCCTCTGAAGGGAGAAAGCTGTTTCACACTAACCATGAGCTTAATCATGAGGATGGAGTTGTTTGGGGTCAACATTGCTTTCTCATCAGGCAAAAGCCACATTCCTGTTTCCAAATATCTCCATTTTCATTTCTTCTAACCACAGAAAGGATGAGTGAACGCTTTTTGCTTTTGTCCAGATGAGCCTTTTAAAAGGCCAGCCGAGCTTTTGTGTGCCTGTCTTGGATTCCTCCTAGTTTGGCTGTGGACATCAGCTTTGTGCTGTGTCTGCTAGAGTGTCTGCCTTGAGCTGTTAGTACCAGAAATGCTCCGATTCATCAGGTTGGTGCCGATCCTTTGAAAGTCTGCACAAAATCTTGGCCTAGTGCTGCATCGTACCTGCCAACAAGGCAGGGATCCAAAGCGTGCAGCCAGAAGCGGTCGAGCAACAGTTAACAGAAAACAGTGTCGGTATTGTGCATGTCTAATAAATAGTGTCACGGATGAGAAACAGTCAGCCCTGACATTCACAGATCACCTTTGAGATTGATGTTTAATCGCCCGCAGAAGAAGCTGTGCCTCCGCCTTCAGTGCGGCGTTTGCCAAATATCACAGTTCTTTCCCTAATGGCCTCGCAAGTGAAAAACTATTAAGTGATGGACTCCTGTTTGAAAGCCAAAATGTTATTGCTTTAGACGGAAAACGGGAGTGGAGGATGTGAAAAGACGGAAAGAGACAGCATATGCTAATAGCGCGTGAGCATGGAACGGCGAGAGGCGCTGCGTCGCTACCCCGAGAGCACGCGGCGGATCTGTGGAAAGGTCATCGGAGCGGATTGGGGACGGAGGGGCCTCCCAGGCTGGATGGGCTTTCTCTCTCTCCTCTTTTTTTTCCCTTTCAGCTTTGTCTCTCTGTCACTCAGGCTGCTTCAGTGCGGAGGTGGTGGTGAGCTGATAATCGGGGCGGTAAAGCCGTCTCATTCCCTCGTCTCAGTCTCTAATGAAGTCTCCACTATTAAAGCTCCATAATTCTCCTATTCCACAGTAAAGCTCCACCCATTTCCTTTTTCTTCCATTCCTTCCTTCCTTTCAACTTTCCTTCCTTCCTTTTTTCCTTCCTTGCTTCCTTCCTCATCGGAGTCCTGTTCTCCCTGTCAGAGCACCACTCTTAAGCCCCACCACCTTATCCCTCTATTCCACCAATCATAATTGAATAACTGGATAAATGAGGAGAGTCTCCTGAATGGGAGCAGAACGGTCATACTCGGCCTTCGGTGCATCAATCATGGGGTCTGATTGAAAAGAGAGAAAGTAGAAGACAAGGGTAAAGACAGAGGGAGAAAAGAGAGGTGGTTAGTGGTGGCTACATGTCACCTTGCCGATAACTCCATGCCTCTTTTCACATGCAAATGAGAGCGCAGACAATGTTTTTTTTTTTTTTTTTTTTTAATGAGGTCGCGGCAAAGCTTTTGAGTCACATGCAAAGGCAGGTCTTATTTTGTTTTAATTTACTAATGAGGTTAAATGTAAATTATCTTTGTGTGCATGATCTGTTCACGCGGTGGATATGTGAAACAAGTTGTGCTGTCCACAGGCAACCGTGAAATAATGTTGAATATACGGCAAACAATTAGATATATATGTTCTTGCTAATGAGGAGAACAAGGATTTAAATTTTTTTTTCCCAAAACACTTTTATGCAACCCAGTTTGTTTGTCCTGTTTGCAGGTACCAAAAGCTGTGGAAGAGTTATGTGAAACTACGCCACCTGCTGGCCAACAGCCCCAAGGTCAAACAGATCGACAAGCAGAAGCTGACGCAGAGAGAGGTACGTCAAAAAGTATTTTTTGATATCTTCGTCAGCATGTAACACCAATGGCAGGTGGCAGTCGCTTGTTTGTGGTGGGTACCGTTTGGATAATTAGCAAGTTCATGGCCTGCAGATATCACAGGTTCCCCCAAAACACACAGTAAATGAAAGATTCACAGCTTTGCAGCTGTTAATTAAAGATCTGTTTTTCCAAAAAACACTATTACCGTTTCTATCGGTGCTGCTTTCTATCATTTGTTGTGTGACCATAATGAGATTGCAAAATAATGATTTTCTGAATGGTTCCTTTATTTTAAAATGTGCAAAAGTGTGTTTTAAAGTGCAGCATTTACTCTGAGCGGGTCAGAACTTAAACGCAACACCGAACAAATTTGGTGTTCGATCTCCCCCGACAATTCAGTGTGCAAGTGAAACGAAAATGATGCAGCGGAGGGTTGGAAATGCATTTTTTTAAGATTCACAGACTTCTAAACCTTAAAGTAGGATTTCTTCAGTCTCCCTGGAGTGATGGTTGGTGTTATGTTTTACTTCTTAACTGCCTGCATTACAAAATTTAAACTCTTTTTATCAGCATGTCTGCAGGTCTTTTGGCTCAAAGTTTGAAAAAAAGGCAGAAGACTGAATTTGCCAGAGTTTGGTCTAATGTTGGTTTGGTCAGCTGTTGGGTGATGGTTTTTGATTCTAGACTGACTGACAAAAAGCCTGGCTACATTTCCCACTGCTTATCTGTAATGAGTACAGAGTTTAGTTTAGCAGCATCAGGCTTGCATCCTGTGTCAACATTGAAGGACTGAATAGACATTTGAAAAATAGTCTTTTTCAAACCAGAAAAAACTCCTTTTAAAATTAGAATTTTTTTGTACAATCTAACTTTAATCTTCTTCCTCCAAAACATTTTACAAGTTACTGATTCCCAATTAGATTAGACATCTCTGATTGGATTAAATCACCTGTTGTCTGCATGTCATCCTTATCCTAAACCGATGAAGATGGAATTTGACTGTTCATCCAAACTTTGTGTTCTCTGCCGTGATTTCTTTAAGATTGTGGCGATGTCTAAGTCAAAGTCCTATCTGTGCACCTGACTATTGTTTCATGACAGATATGAAAAATGTGAACCCATCCTTTAATGCATAATTTAGTTTAATTTATGGCTGAGAATAAAATGGCAGTAACTGCTCTCCTGAGTTTGCTGTGAAGGTCAGACCCTCGCCAGGGAGCACGAACAGAAAAGGTTTAGATTTGGTGAAGTAATGACCATGTAGCCATGGGGAATCCCAGAGTAGCAGCGCTGTGTGTGTGTGTGTGTGGCCAGAAGAAGCAGAGAATAAGCTCCGTGCTGCGCTATATCCTTCCAGCAGTCTGCACAGTAGACATAACCTCCTTCTTCTCATAGGCTTTGATTGGGCTGCACATCCAGTTTCTGCCTTTGGACCGACTCACTCTGAACCAATAATGAGCAAGAACTCTGAGCTCAATTAGTTTGTTTCCCAGGTAGCTCTGCAAAGCTCTCGAGCTAACAGGCCCTGACAATCCTACTGTCAACCTGCAGCGCAACAATTAGTGAACCCAAACACATGCACACTCACACACTGAGCCCGTCAGACTCCACCAGAAGCATTAGCAGTGTCAGTGTCTCTTCACTGCTGCGGCAGTGCGGCATCGCTACTTACTCGATGCCTGAGGGAACACCGAGGCTCCGTCTTTAAGCGCTTTTGAGTGAAAGACCCAAATTCCCGCGCATCTGATATGCGTTTTCTCCCGTTACGAATCCCCCCGTCAGAGGTGCTCTCACACCGGCTCTTTGATACCCCTGCTCTCTCTGAAGTGCACGGAGCCCCAGGAAGGCCAGAAGTGTGCGGCTCAACAAGAACTGGCCTTCACACGGAGGCGCGTGCCTCTGCACCCACATGCAGATCTCATGCTGAGAGCGCAAAGGGCTGTGTGTGGGTGGACATGATGTGGCATGGAGGAGCGTGCATCTGGCCCTGACGAATGTAGCCTGATGGCCTCAGCCAAGCGGGTGCATTTTTGCATTGGTCACTTTCAGAAAATGTACAGATTTTTGGTAAATATCAAATGTGACTTTGCCTTAAACTATTTAAAAAATAAATACATCAGCAGATAGAATTATTTTTATATGATTTCTAATGATATCCCTGATTTCAATATATCATCAACTCCGAGTAAGAAAAGTACTAAGCTGCCTGTTTTCAGTCTGTATTTCCTTCTTCTATGCATAATTTTCAAGCAAAGCTGGAGCATCTTTCCAAATTTATTTTCAACTTATCCTGTATTAGTATTCATTACATTGTGCATTTACAATGTGGTTATACAGCCCTCTTTATCTGTTCCTCCATCTTCCTGATGGAGGAATTGGGGAGCATGCTCAGAGAGTCGTGACCACTTTAACACAAGTGGTGCGTTAGAAAATAAGAACTTGTTTGTTGTGTTGCAACTCATTTGAAAGTAAAACAAGTTCAATCTTTAAACTCAACGATTTTGATTTTATTGAGGAATGAATGTTGCAAATGTTGCTTCATAACAACCATAGAAACCATAGATATCTTTAAAATCATAATTATCCAGCAGCTCCAGTGATGCTGCATGGTTTCCAAGCACAGGACAGCAAAGCATTGGGTTCTGAAATAAAAACCCACCAAAAAAAAACAAAAATGAAAACTAGGAGTCAGGGAGAGTCACTGACAATCTGAGGAAATGCTTTTGTGTTCACTTCTCATAAATATCGCTGCTTTAAAATGCAAAGAGGACACAGAAAAGGCTAATTTTATTCTGATTTAAAATACTAAAAGGTTGTGATGGGACCATTGACATTATTAAATGCAATTTCAAGTAATTACAGCTTGCTGTTGCACGTATTGTTTGCATTTTTTGCATTTTTTGCTTGATACTTATTTCAAAGGAACTTTTTGAAAAAATATAAGTAAATTCAGCTTCAGTAGAAACTTTTAACCCTCCATAAAAAATGTGAACTCCTTTGATAGCAAAGTTAATAGTGATGCGAAAGCGAAGGATAGGTAATTTACCGGAAAGATTTTATCACTGGAGGCCAAAATCATTCATGTTGTTGTATTTTAGACGACCCGCTGCCGCAGTGGGTTTAAACGTCCAGCTTTCCATTGCTCACTATTTGAATCTCTGAAATGAACCTGTTAAATAGAGTTACACATGTGCAGCGTCCTTCCTCTGATTTTCAGACAGTGTCTTTGGAGTTTGTCTTCAGTTTGAGCCCACATGCCCCGCCTCCTTCCGGTGATTACCTGTTTGACCACCAGCTTCTGCAGCTCATGGGTTCACTCTTTACTTTTCCATCTGTTTTTCTGAATTGTAGAAATCCCCGTACAATAATCTATTTAATGTATCATTCACACTGCTTTCTGTGTTCAGTGGCTGGATGTCCGTGGAAAGGTCTTTTCAGTGTGGATGTGCATGCCTGTGCTGCACGGGGGCGACTGTTCTGTTTGATGCACGGTTCAAAGTGGGAAGGAATTACTTATTCATGCCTTTGTTGTTCTTATAGTCTCTACAAGTCTGCGATTCCATTTTAGGCCGATCACGACTAACTCGGGCGAGGTTGTGGCTAAATGATGCACACGCGAGAGCACACAAGCATGAGCACACACACGTGAGCGCACACACGTTTCGGAGCTGCAGTCTGTCAGCTCATCTTCCATTTTGGTTGTTATTTGTCCCTCTCATCTCAGACTGAAACCCTCCCTTATTCTTCACCGCTTATTTGCAGTTCGCTTGACATGTAGGTGTGTGTTTGCGTGTGTGTAGCAACTAGCTATCATCTGTTTGAGTTTGAGATGAAGGAGGAGGACAGCTTTGCAGGTTCTTCCTCCAATGTATTGTTTTCTGACTTGGACTAAGTGAAGTTCAGGATTTTGGCCTTTGCAAGGCCTTACGCTAATGAAAATCAGATCAACATGGCCTCCCAGCCCTCAAGGCAGGTTGCTGTACCACATGTCTGTCATGCAGTGGCAGTTTCAGTTTATTGCATGCGCCAGCTTTTCTGCTGGGAGATCAGCGAAATAGGGGAGCAGTTGTAGGCGGCAGGGTGGGTTTTTTCGGATAGGAGCCGTCCCCACCGGCTCCGCTCCAGTGGATCAATAATTGACTGCCTGGTTGTTTGGCAGGAAGCTCTTCAGAAGATCCGACAGAAGAACACGATGCGCCGTGAGGTGACGGTGGAGCTCAGCAGTCAGGGCTTCTGGAAGACCGGCATCCGCTCCGACGTCTGCCAGGTAACACCCGCCCAACCGAATGCAACCTCAAACACTGGAGGGTGCACACATAATGCAATAACTACTCGTGGGTTTGACACATGCACTCATGCACAGGCAAGGATCTCCAGAGATGCACAGACTCGCTTTTGCACTCCCTGCCGCAAGTGCTTGCACACTGTTTGACATTTTTTTACTCCTTTTTTTCATTCTATGTAAGTCTCAAACGAGTCATAGCTGTAGTCCTGCACACAGGACAGACAGACATATTACTTACAGGGATGAAGCCTCACAATGCATGTTTCTAAATTACTTTAAATGATGAACATATTATCAGGTAAACCTCTTAAATGGGTCTTCTTTGAGGTTGAACTGTCTGATGAAATGTATTTACAGTCTAATCTATGCTCTTTGGAGATTCAGAAACCCATGAACAGTTTGTCTAATTTTTCTGTCTCCTGTCTAGAAGCTTTTATATCTTATGTTTTCCTTGTCGGAATATAATGAGATATCGTTTGATCATTCTAAGGTTTTAAAAATGAAAGCAATTCAAACTTAGATAAACAGCAACACACGATGTGTTAGTCAACGTAATAACTTA